AAAAATTGAACTGTGATGTCGATGTTGATGGTCGTTAGCAATGTACATCTTCTTTTTACTAAGATGCCATCACTATGTAAATAACTCTGTTCAACTACACATTAATTTTGGTCTTAATGGCCCTTTAACAACCTTTTAAAGCTTTCCACAACGGGCGATTCATGAAGATGGGTTTGTTATCTCGCTCAAGCGCATCTAGAGGCTGAGAAGTATAAAATATGTGTTGTGATATCAAGATCGTATATTTACACGCTTATGTCGTACCCAACTTAACTTCGTTTCGCGCTCTTGAGAACGATCATGATAAGGCACCACGCAGCAAGCCCGTTTCGCCTAGTGCGCACTGTTTTGCGCTGCGTCGCAGGTCAAATATTCTTCTGCTTCTTGTAACGATGGTAATGTGTCTTAGAGATCGACCGTGAAAAGTTTAGAAGTAGGAGCGTTAAAAACAGTAGTTTAATTTTAGAATTGCGAGACCTTTAAATCCAATAGCTTGTTTAATGTATGGGGTGAAGGCCTATTGGCGAATCCTGAAGGCTCCTTTAGCAGTTCCCTTTTCAAAATAAAGGTTTTATATATATTATATTATTTTGTATGCTATCGATGTCAAAGTCGGGATTTTTTGTACCTAGACCGATCGTTTCACGACTGAGCCAAATTGCGGCATTGTCAAATCACAATAATTAAGGTATTTACTGCATCGAGTGCCACCAGAAATTCGGCAATTTATCGAGGCCCAATATATGCCGTGGCCCACACTATTCAACAAGTATCACTATTCTGTTGCCCACACTAATTTCCGAAACCTGTGCTCTACCTACTACTCCATCAATTACTACCGCTACTCCAACCACCCATTCGATTACTACTACTACTACTACTACTACTACTACTACTACTACTACTACTCTCTACTACTACTACTACTACTACTACTACTACTACTACTACTACTACTACTCTCTCTCTCTCTACTACTACTACTACTACTACTACTACTCTCTCTCTCTCTCTACTCCCCCCTCTCTCTCTCTCTCTCTCTCTACTACTACTACTACTACTACTACTACTACTACTACTACTCTACTACTCTACTCTCTACTCTACTACTACTACTCTACTACTCTACTACTACTCTACTACTACTACTACTCTCTACTACGACCACTACCACTATTACTACTACTACTACTACTACGACTTCTACTACTACTACTACTACTACGACTTCTACCACTACTACTGCTACAAGAACAACAACTACTACTACTACTACTGCACATACTACTACGACCACTACCACTACTTCTACTTCTCCCACTCGTCCCACGCGCCTCTCGGGACTCGCAAGCGGACCCGCAGGTCCGACCTCTTTGGTGCGACTGACAGAGCGCGCGCTGAACGCCATCGATGGCCGCGGGAGCGACACCGCCGGACGCAGATCAAGAGGCGTTGGCGCCGCAGAAGGCGACGCTCCGTCTGCTCGCCACGCGCTCGTGACTCCCGACGAGGCCGACGCCAATGCGGCGGTTGGCGCACCAATCAGACACTCGGACGGCCGCGGGGCTCTTTTCACGCTCCGCTCGCGCGTGACACTCGTCGACGGACGTCGCGGAGTCCGCCCGAGTCGCTCAGCCGTAAACTGCGCTGCACGCGACTGTCGGACGAGATGCGTCTGCGTCGCGTATGCACAGTCTGTGCGCAGGAGAGCTCTGGGCACAAGGACGAGGGCCCCGCGGCGCTTGTCCCGACAGCTGAAGGCGACATGCGAAGTGCGCTGAGCAATCTGAAGGCCGCTGCTGGTGGGCGCCGCTGTATCAGCGACGAGAACGGATGTCGCGTGGGCGATGAACCGCATCGAGCGGCTGTGAACGACCTGGTGACTTACTGTGAGCAAGCGCGACTCGGTCAGGCGACGGCACGTGCACTTGGACTGGTGGAGAGCGGCGACTGCCTGTCGCTTGATATCACGACACGATCGTCCGAGTGTGCAACGCACTATCGATGCCAGACGAAACGCTGAAGCTCGAGTCCAGTCAGCTCATTGGAGCGACGCACAAGATGGCGTCTCGACACAGTCGCAGCTCTTCTATGGCTCTCTCGCGCGACTCTGTGCTGTAGCAGTGGTCGCAACGACAACAGGGTGAGACTGAAGGAAGCAGCACTTGCAATGGCTTTGACGTGCAAAGGGAGCTAGAAAGCCGATAGGAGGCTTGACGTGTCTAGCAGCCAGTCGCCGAAAAGGAAGACTTGAAGTGTGTAGCCGACAGGTGCTACATGCAAAGCTGGGTCTGGGACTACCACTCAGTTCCAAGGTCCAAGTGCTGCGTAAAATACGTGGTCGGCACCTCCTGGTGTTGCTCCTCTACGTAGCTGCGCTGATTGGGCACCATGGCGCAGGTCACGATCGCCTTAATGCACCGGTCCAGCAACCTTGGACCAACAACTCTACGGAACTGCCGTTATGGCGTGCCATGCGCGAGCGATTGAGATTGTGTGATCTGTGCGTCCAGCTACTGCACGCTCTTTTGAGTGTGAATGTCCAGATACGCTACATGGGCTCAGACAGGCAGCAGCTACTGTCATCGCAGGCGCCAAGCTGCAACGTTCTCATGATGGCACACCGCTGACGTGTCTACAGTGGGTCCGGTGGATGGCTTGTACGGTGTGCATCCGCCGTCTCGTTGCTTTGTCGACATGCGTTGCTGTCTGCCGTTTGAATCCATTGCCCGCGTTCAGTGCAGATGAATATGCCACTGTCATTTGCAGTTTCGCATGGAGGGGGGGGGGGTCGCAAGGAAGATGACGTCTTTGATGTGTCGGACGATAGGACCGAATGTCGAGATGGCTTGTTCGGCCTGGTCTTGTTCGCGACCTCTGCATCTCGTTCGAGCTTGCCTGACGCTCGGCAGTCGTCACACGAGTCCGTGTGATGTCGGACGGGCTTTGAGACGAAGAAAGACACGTGTGTTTGCAACCCCTTTTTTGCGTTCCATCCGACGACAAGCTAAGTGTGTACTGTTCCGCGCACTCACTGTCGAGCAAGTCAACCTCATCGAGCAGAGGACCTTTGTTGGTTGACACGTGTGAGAGCGGCTCGAAGTCGTCGTCTTTTTCGTGGGCGGCGTGTCGCGGGGTCCGGAACATCGAAGTTGCTGAACGATCAATATGAACCGTGTCACGTTCGGTACCATTGTCGTGCCGCTCCGTTGCCATGTTGGCATGACATGACTTGCGAATGGGCGATACTAGCGCGTCGCTGGTCTCGCGGTGCAGTGACGCGAATTTGTACAGCAGCTTCTACGTGAGTATGTAAGAGCGAGAAGAATCAAGCAAGTAAACGGCACGTCATTGTCGCTGAGGAGGAGGAGGAGAAGAAGAAGGAGGAGCATTTTTTGCTGAGCTTGTGTAAGTCTGATGGTCAGGCAAGAGTGGGCGTGTGGGGTGTAAAGTCCCATCCCAGTTCCAAAAGACGGCTGACAACTTCATGCGGAGCCGATCGCGCTCGTCTGTGATTTTCCGGTACGTCGCTGCTACAATCTGATTGAGATCGACAGGTTTGCGAACCCGAGCGATGCTCAACAACTTGAAAGTCTGTTCGGAAGCAGCACCAGTTGTGAGCACGTTCAGTGTTCAGTGAGCACCTCATGCTCCGCATTGCGCTCTCACTGATCGCAAATGCGTCATGCACGCAAGCTGTGGCGCACTGTGGCAAGGGAGAAGGCAAGTTGAAGTGACACAGCGTCTCCGAAATGTGACAGTCTCACACACAATGGGTCAAAGAATGCGTAGGCCTCGGCACAGCTGCGCTTCACTCAGTTGTTGCATCACGATCTCGGGAACCGGGTGCCGACTTTGTGAGGCCCTTCAGGCGAGAACGGGTCGCATCGTGTTGCGACGACATGGTTTGTGCTCGCCCGTCTTGTGTTGGAGAAAGACGCTGTGGACTTGTTGCCATTGACGTTGTTGCGTGTTTTAGTGCATTGACACTTGAGTTTGTTGGCGCGAGTGTGTGGAATAGAGCGCATCGATGAAGTGGTCGCACAGCCTCATCACTCGAAGACCACATGCAGAATCGAAAGAGTTGACTTTGACGCGATCTTTGCAACGAATGGCGGCACGAGCTATGATATACATGACGGAACGACCGAGGCTGGCAGTGCACGAGTCCTTCGTGCTCAGAAACAGTAGTCTTTGGCGCTACAGTTGTTGCAGTCGTGTGAAGTTCACTCAGCTACGGCTTTCTCATCAGAGTCATATAAATCTGTGTGTTGTCGATGATGTACGACAGCCAAATAGTGTCGTCTTCATGTTTGTCGTCCTCGACGCCGTTCATCCTACTCTGTAGCTACTTCAACAGAAGCATGCCCCAAAGTACACCCTCTAGCTTTTCATCCCAATGGCCGCCGGTCGACAGCACCTAGAGTTCTGTCTGCTAATTTTGTTGTATGTCCAGCGAAGCGAAACAGCCGCTAAAGAACGAGTTCTCACGGTCAATGGCTACCTCTTCCCGTGCGTGAGCTTGAGGTCGAAGTGCATGACCGGACGGACTATGCACTTAACGCCAGTGACGTGTTTGCGCTTTTCCTTCGTGCCAAACACTTCGGACTTCTTGCTGCATGCGTGACACGCACGAGAAGACTGCATCCCAACCGGTGATTTTATTTTCCAGAGTGCAAAGGCGTTGACATGATGAGGTTAGCTAGTGGTCGCCCATTTAAAACACGCGGAGAACAATACTGCCAGAAAATACAGTGCCGTCGAGCTTACAGATCTCATTCGTTATATAATGTGAGACAGCTTTAGCAGGTCAGATTATGCAGAGAATGATGGACTGAACAAGAAGAAAAAGGTGTTTGTGTGTTGACTTGACGATTGACCCAACCTATGAGCTTCAAAAGTTCACTCACCAAACTTGAAGCGCTCTGCTACTTCGTGCCGTCGTTTCTACCAAACACGCACTCAAATTAACCCATTTGGGACCGCAAATGCGATTCGACCTAGTGGTGGTGGTGGTGCCCGTGGTGCCCGTGGTGTCCGTGGTGCCCCTGCTGCGCGGGCATGCTGTGGCCAACAACTTCCTGCTTGTAGAAATCGAAATAGTCGGTAATGACCTTCTTTCTCCACTCTTTCCCGTCGAGTGCTTTGAACTCGCCAGGCGACATGTGAAAGAGATTCTCGACGACATCTTCAAAACTCGTTCTATCATTGAACCAGGCGCGAAACTGTGCTTTTTCAAGCCCTCCAGCCATCTCCTTCCCCTTTCTGCTCCCGTGGACTTTCACCATGCCGATCAGTTGCGCGACCACGTCCTCGCCGAGGTTCGTTCGGAGGAACGAGTAAATGTGCGTATCCGCCGTCTCCTTGTTGTGCTTCTGCAGTTGTCTGTACACGGCCACGAACTCGTCACTCTCGACGAATTTGCGAGCAACCTTAACGTTGAGCGCCGCATGGTCGTTTGGAGGCGGGGCATGTTCCATCAGATTGACGATATCTGCGGCCTTTTCCACCTTGTACACGTCCTGGAGCTTGCCCTCGAGCTCCCGTACCTTGCCCGACCTGAAGACGGACATCAACCAGTCGAAGAACGCCATCAGAAATCGTTCCTCGTTCCTTCCGTGGGCTGTTGAAAGAGCGTGGATTGTTTGCTTGGGTGGCTCGACGTCCAGTTTCGGCGACGCCTCGACGGGTGAGGAGTTGGAGGCCACAGTGAGGTCTGCCACGACGAAGAGCGACGCACTCACGAGGAGTCCGACGAGATGGATGAACTTCATGGTTCACGTGAAGAGGGCCAAGAACGGGTATTGTGCACTTGACTGCAAAAGGAATTGTGGTCATAGTTGACAGCGCTGCGCTGCAACTTGTTGCACAAATGATTTATTGTATATGGAAGTTAGTATGGTACGGGTCGTGACGCGGTAACTCTGTGCTTCTTGAGCGAGTAAGCTGCGCGTCGATCGGATGGACGGGAACGCGAAGCGGAAACACGAGGCAGAAGCTGCTCAAATAGTTCATCAACGAGTGGCAGGCGAGCTGAGTTCTGCTGTACTTGCCATTTGTATCGCTGAGCTACTGTGTCATCTCTAGTCACGGACCCTGTAGTCCCTCCACACACGGCTGCGTGATACTGGGATGACTTTCGCTCCAGCTCGGTGTAGCAGTTTCCGGGACAGAAAAAGCACTTTTAGCGGTGAGAGTGGCATCGCTGCTTCTTGTATGCTTCGTAAGTACAGGCAGGTGGTAGAAGTGGCCAGTGAACTCAGATATAGTCTCGTCCATTACACTGTGTTCGTGTTTGTATCAAGGAAGTGGTCAGCACGGATCTGATCGACCAGATAGCCATCCGGGAAGATCCGGGCAAACCGTGCTTGTGCACATTGTCAACAATTGTAATCGAGGCTTCGGATTCCCAACTACTTGCGTTTTGTAAGGGCTATTTCCGGATATTTTGGATCCTGTCTCTGCGCTGTACCGGTCATTCGGTACCTGGCTATTTGCATATCCTGTCTCACCGCTATTCGGTCTTTCCCACTGGTGAAACTGGGATCCCTTAGACGCTCGCTCTACCTCCACCGTAGCACCATTTATGCCATAATATACGCACTTTTGCTGGTCTCTGACGTTCTGGACAGCATCGATGACAGCCGCGCCAGTTCCTCTTCTCGCGCAGTAGAACGTTTCGAATGCGATAGAACTACGGGATGCCCTCCCAATGACTATTCTCCGCAGGAACAGATCTCTCCATCGTTTGTTCTGTCGAGGAAAGTACAAATTTGCTGGTGGTTTAGGTAACGTGCCAGCTGCGCGAAAACGCACCTATGGTCAATCCGTTGTATGCGCCTCAACTCCCGTGAGTAGTATCGGGTAGTATCGGGTATGTTGCAGCAGTTCGCTCCCGACGAAGCAGTGCAGCTATCGCGGACTTTGTTCTGATGGAATCGCACACACTCGTGGTACTACATCCTCAGCCACGAACCGCCTTCATCGCGACGCTAGCGATCGTAGATCATGACAGGTATGACGTAGGAACGATCGCATGTCTAGTTTGTTGAGGACAAGTTGCACGACAAAAAAGGCTGTTGAGGCACGACGTAGGACATGAGGTTGTAGAGCTTTTACTAGTGTATTGTTTTCGTAGCTGCCAGTGAATGAGCAGTGCCTTGTATTGTTTTACAAAGCACCAGACTTCTCTCGAGTAGAACACTTGAATGGACGATGACATCTTCTCGGAGCGATTGAGCCTCAAGATGCGTCCAAAGAGTCCATTCGAGAGGTTGTCAGTCGATGTCCTCACTTCGAGAATCAGAGATCAAAACATATGTCATGAATGTCCGACGGTCGTTCAGGCGCAACTGTAATGGGTTCTCCACTTCATCCGCGCAGCCAACGATTCCACGAGAAGCCAGAGAAGGTCAGCAAGACTCAGACCAACCAGATGACCAGCGGGAAGGTGTGGTGGAAGCTGTTCGTGCACCTCATCAACACGTAGTAGTCAGAACGACATGTATGCTGTGCGCTCGCTCTCATGATGATACACTACAACATCCGCACCTATCTCTCTCCACGCGAAATCCAGTTCTTACACACGCGGCTATGTCGATGCTGCAATGTCTCTGGCTGAAGTCTCAGCACGCGAGCGGCAGTGTCCAGGCTATAAAAGGCCCTTCGAGACGTGTCACACACACCGGAGGGCTTCTTGTCGAACACGACTTGTTCCCGAACCTTCGGCTGACGTACACAAAACGTGTTCAAGTTACTGATAGCCGAACTTTTCCCGCGTTCGACTTACATGCATCAAGCCAGACGTGCGGATCGCGTCGTCTTCGACCACAGTGGTGACTGTTGATCGCATTGTGATCACCGGTGCAAGAAAAGTAACCAGATCGGGTGGACTGGGGCAAATGAGGGACGGGTTAAACATCCCCAACTGAAAGATTACCTGTCCCCAAGTCTATCCCCAACTACACAAAGACATATAATCAGTTATTTTTGAGTCGTAATTTGTGCTCGTCTTGACAGATGGCAAAACGACAGGGGTACATAGCCTTGCGTCTTGCGATTAATACAAATATATGATATTTATATATGTAGATCTATATATGAATATGATATATGAAGGCTCCCCCCACACACCAATGCCAAACGTTACGTAGTAGCGTTTGGAAACAAACACCAGAAATACGAGCTAAACTACGGCACTGACGTGAGACAACTTCGATCCAAGGTGCTGCACTGACGTAAGACAAGTACGATCCAAGGGGCTAGACTAACGTAATACAGGTTCGATCCAAGGTGCAGCACTGACGACATACAGGTTTGAGCTAGGTACGTGCAGCAAAGCTTACTGTTTACCGTCATTTGATCCTATCGCGACTTATAAAGCTACTGGTTTCAGATTTCTGGATGGAGAATCGTCAGCAAGACAACGACTGCTCAATTACGTCCCCTCAGCAGTCCGAGGTTGATGGCAACATGCAACCTGACGTGTCGAATAGAAGTAGAAAGTCGATGCTATGTGTGTCCACTACTGGAGCGAAGGACATTAGCTAATCTAGCAACAGGCGTCGCAGGTAGGTGGTATTCGCATTCTTAACGTACTTGTCTAATTTATTTGTGCCCATGATGTTCAACAGGCCACTCAAGCCCTACCTTCAGCACCATTCATGATGATTTTCTGCCAGAGGTGTCGAGTGTAAATGATTCTATGGCGTGTCCTGAACAAGCGTATAAAGCAGCAGCTGTAATAGGCGATAAATCATTGTTTTAAGTGTCTGGAGGACAAGGCCAATTGTAATCACAATCTGAATATGATTCGCGAAAAGAAACCGCTTCGAGAAGACATTGCTACAACCAGTTGTACCATGGACTGACTCCACCTCTTCCGGTGGATCACCGACATGTCACGGGGCAGGATACTATGGGCTACCAGGAAGTATCGAATCAAGTGCGTCATCTTCAATGTCCAAGTGAATATCCCGCGCCCGATCAAGAACATATCCAATATTCTTCCGGCCACTTCAAGTACGATTAAGGTCGCGGATATCGGCTACATTTGAAGGGAACCCCCATTGCTTCGAGACTAGCACTTATATGATGGGTGCAATAAGATGAGGTGGTGATGGTGGTGCTACTTTTGATGTTTCAAGGCAATTTCGGCACGCCCCACCACTTCTCGTCAGCGCACTAAATCTATACTTGTTCTTATTGCTTGCATCACGTTCTCCAACGTTGACAGCTAATACAGAAATACCAATAGTTCAACAATCAATGCTTTGACATCACACGAATGATTGTTTTGAATGTCTTTCAATCAAGCCTTTTTGCTATATCATGAGCATGCCAATTTCTGCACGGATCTACTTGTTTGTTGCACTTATCAATGATGAGGATGACACGTATGTCCTTGAGCTAACTTATCATGCATGTAATCATGCATATACTATAGAAGAATTGGACAATCGTTTATTGAGTGTTTACATGCACTAGATACGTTTGAGGTATGAAGACAAGGTATGAGCACGTAGCTGACTCGGTATAAGTTTAACCTCATTAAAATCTTCATTGTAATAGCCTCGACACGCGTGATCCGGACCCGCCAAATGTTGTAGTTGCATTTCACTGAGTGCGTTCCGCGGTGCCTTCGTCTGCCAAAGCTCGAGCTATCAGTATCCATATACGCTCGAGGATGGACAGTTCATTTAACGAATAAGTGACTCTATAATGTATATTTTCATGCGCCGAGTATCCGTTAGATATTAGTAGACAGCTGCGGTAACAACAGTGGCTTCGTTACCTTAGCATCTTCTGGTTGTAGACGTATTCGCCAGTCCACTGCATACCATTGACCCCGGAGCGCTTGAGAATATAATTTTTTTTAAAGAACAGGGTCACTTACGTACCTTTGCAACCTAGCACTCTTCATGACGTAGACTTATCAGCAGCTTGAGAGCGACGGCGTATCCACACTGATTATCCGGTCACCCTGTCATTCACGATACAGATATGCCCAACATTAGATCGCAGCTGCATACTGTCATCGTTTGTAGCGACATGCGCGTCGAAAAGAATTACAAGACTGTCACGCTGAGCAAACCAGTCTGTCACTTCCCTTTAATTCTTGTCTTGTTAGCTCCTTTTAGATCCTGGCGTTGTCCACTGACCCCTGTACATCAACGACATAGGTGACGCACTGGTATGCAAAACCAATACCATATACATCCTGTTCTGCCAGAAAGTGTGCTCAGTCGCAGGACAGCTCGTCAACTTTTACATATCGCCCTGAAGCTGCAGAAAAAATGATTGGCTACTTGTCAGAGCCTCGATTTGTATGCCGTAGGCAGATCACGGTCCTACCTTATACCGATGATTTCGTTCCATAAGTCCGCGTACATTCATAGGAATGCAATTGCGGCTAGAGGTGACACATTGCATGTAAGGCTCGGCTTTTTAGAGAGAGAGATTTCATGACTGTCTATTAACACGTGATTATGTACAAGATGTCTGAAAGCTCCTGAGCCAGGAAATCAAGTCCGGATCCGGAAGAGATTCGTGACTATGACCCAGAGAAGCCTCGATGTCTCGAGGTGCTTGGGTAAAAATTTCTATGCCGGCGTGCAAGAGAGCCCCTTGCACGACAGTACTAATACCGCGATGTTCGCGTTTGGCCAGCGCTAGGAGTTGGCGTATCCCTGACTCCCAAAAAGGCTCGGCTTTTTAGGCTCGTTCGCCTCTTCTTGAAACGGCGGGGACCCGGGCAGGGTCGTGGTTTTCCTAC